GTGTGTGTGTGTGAAAGAGAGAGAGAGAGAGAGAGAGAGAGAGAGAGAGAGAGAGAGACAGAGAGAGAGAGAGAGAGAGAACTGGACTACTCTAGATACCTCACAGAAGTGAAGTCATACCACAAGTGTAGAAATCTCTTCAGAGTTTCTCCATGTTGTAGTATGTATCAGGATTTCCTTTTTAAGGCTAAACAGTATTTAAGTATGATATGCAACATCTTGCTTCTCTACTCGCCTGTCACTGGACATTGGAGCTATTTTTGTGGTCATCGTCCCTGCTTTATTTCCCTTCCAGGCCCCTGCACTCGCCATTACCGCTGCTAGGAGTAACTTCCCTACTTTCCTATGTGTCTCAGCCATGCGTCTCGTCTCAGCCTGGGCACCACTGTCCTGGAGGCTTTCAGTGACCTTGGTTGCTGGAAAAGGCAGACACACACACGAGCTAATGGCTTCATTCATTCCTCTCTCTCTCAGCACACTGCCACCATTGACTTAATCAAGCTTTCGGGTGAAATGAGTTCTAACACCCAGGCCCAGACCCAGCTTTCGCTGCTGCCCGCAAGGGCCTTATCCATGATGTGCTTGCCTGCACTCATACTCTCTGCTACTCTCTTCTTGGCTCAAGGTAGACAGATGCTCAGGCAGTATTGATGAATGGATGCAAGCGTGTGCTTTGCTTCTGGTGCTTGTATGCGTCACGTCTCCCCTATGTGCAGCAGACGCAGGGCTCGCTGCCAGCCGTGGCCTTTCCTGACTCTCCCTCCCCCTGCCAAAGCCCTGTTCATTCTTCAAGTCCCAACTCTAGTGCCCCTTCCCATGCTGCCCTTCAAGGCAAAGCTTTGCTCTGGCCCAGTGCACTCTCCCAGCTGGGGTCAGACCTGCTGGGGAGGAGGTGGTAACTTTAAGGTTTCCTTATATTGGCTGACTAGCAAACAAAAGAATGCTCCCAGGAGTCAAAGACAACCACTTCCTACCTCTGCCAGTCATCTGGGTTTAGCCCTGAACACTAAGTCTTCATTCAAGGGGTTCCAGCCCCATTCACAAATGAGAAAGCTGAGGCTCAGAAAGAGGAATTAGTAGGGCCAGTGAATGAAGTAAACCCCCAAATAGGCAGTGTCCTACCCCATACCCACTGGCTCACAGATATTTCCCACCATGAGTAGCCCTGAGCTTTATTCACTTTATAGGTCATTCTACTTCAGCGCTTGGTTTACCTTCCCCACACCATCGAGAGGAGAGAACCTAATCCCTGCTCTTGTTATTTAAAGCTCTTCCATGTATCAAAGAGTGAAGACAAGTAAAACAGCACAAGTGGGAGCCAGCAGGGCAGGCAGGGGACAAGGGAGGCCCCAGGGGAGGAGGGAAAGAGCAGAGCTACCAGAGCAGAGCTACCCAAGGCCATTAGGTGGGCTCCTGCCACGGGGTATGAAGAGGCCTTGATGTGCAGCTGAGCTCTGCCCACTCACAGTTCTAGGGCAGACACCAAAGGACCACAGCAGAGAGTCTCAACCTTAAGTAGGCAGGAGTTCAACAAGGAAACACCAGGAAGGAGCACATGTCCCCTGTCTCAGAGTGACACAGTAAGTAGTTAGGCAGGTAGGCGCTGGAGCTCGAAAAATCTCAAACAAAAGTGGGCTAAGCATTATAAGCTTGTGTTCCCACAATAAGTGTCTCAGAAGAGCTCATGGAGCCCCTGACAGGTGCCCTGCATGCACAATTCTGTAGGTCTGGGGTCAATGCACGTGCACCTAGGGGACTCGACCCTAAGTTGACCCAAAGGGCCTCCAAAATTGGCCCTCTCCCTTTGTGAAGATGACCCAAAAATTCACTGTTGGTCAGGACTATGTAAAACCTAAAACTCATCCTGATCAAAGGGTAGAGTCCCAGATCCTTCCCTATTCCTTTGTTCTTAGAAATTGTAGGCCCACTCTTGGGAACTAGGCTGTTCAGAGTCTCCTACTTTGTTCTCTCCCAAGTATGCTATGCTTTTCCCTCAATAAACTGGCTTGTTAACTCTGCTTTTTGTGGATTCTGTGTCTCTGATATAGACCTCCATAAACTACTTCTTAGGGAGGATCCAAGAACCAAGAGATCCCTTCACAGCACACTGGTCTCTGTTGGGTCAAGTCCAGATTTAAGGTAAGAAGGTACTATCCCTCTGTGCTAAGGCCAGGGACAGAGATTTTCAAGAAAGTGATCTCAAATTGTGAGTTTGTCTTGCAAGATCACTGTCAGCCAGTTACCACCCTTTGGTTGATACCAATAAGACTTTAAGGGCCAATCTCAGCTGGATGGAATGTGACCAAACTACCTGAGATCAGAGAATTT